TTGGTTTCCTCCCAGGCTCATGGGCGAGCCTGCAACCTTATCAAGGCGTGGGAGGCGGCAGGACGACAGCCAGCTCGCGGACTCAAGCGAAACTCGCGTCCCAAGACCGCAAGATGGCGAGCTGGAAAAACCGTCGAGTCCCGGTCCGGCGGACCAGGAGTTGGTCCGGCGGACCGGGCTCAATTTATTTTTTTTTCGAATTTTTCTCCCAGTCCGACTCCGGCTGAGTCATTGGTCCGCCCCGGACCAGTCCTGGTCCGGCGGACCAGGCTCTCCTTTTTTTTTTCCTTTTTCGTTTCTTCGTTCCTTCTCGATCTTTCACGCGTGTGACGATCCTCGTGCCTCACCTCGGCATTGCACTATTTATTTTTGGTGATTTCGTGATATCCCTATTTAATTATTTAAATTATTCATATTTAAATAATTAAATATTCAATTCGAGTTTCGGGGTATTACAGTAATCGACTCACCGTACAAAATATGGGAATACAATTCTCGTAGTCCAAAACACAAAACCCATACATGATGTTGCCTCTCTCTGGTCGTCGCCGTCCCACATGCTAAGCGTAATCCTCGTGATCTGAAAAATATAAAACCACGAGGGCTAAGCACAACTGCTTAGTGAGTAGCCCGGGTTGAACCCGGTAAACCCGTTCTCGGCGAGAACGGTGTTATCATGATGATTCCCAAACCGAATAAATATACAATATATATATATAACATGTCACACCACGTACATTCATCACAACCATATCAATCACAAACATACCCGTATAGAATCCTCCATAGGGTTTCAGCCCCATATCCTAGCCAAGTCAGCATGGCTAGGGGCGCACCACGCGCACCCGTCACTCGCATGACGTTGGCCGTCGCGTCACCCGCGACATACGCGTATCACGCGCTGGTCACACTCGTGACCACCCGATGTCAACTCAGCATGACACAGACGGGAAAATATCCACCCACCATAGGGTTTCCAGCCATAAACCCTAGCCAAGTCAGCATGGCTAGGGGCGAGTCCACGCCCGTCAAGTCCATGACGTTGGCCGTGTCAAGTCAGCATGACACAATAAAATCGTAACACACCCGTATGGAGTCCACCATAGGGTTTCCAGCCATAAACCCTAGTCAAGTCAGCATGATTAGGAGCGAGTCCACGCCCGTCAAGTCCATGACGTTGGCCGTCGCATCGCATGCGACCATATCACATTCACAATCACGCTTCGCTCGTACCGCACGAGCGAAGCTATAACCATGGCATACATCGAACATACATTTTAACCCCAGTACAATCACGCGTAAACCCGGTATTCGGTCCCGACCGATACACCGTTTAACGTCATACAAACTACCCAAATGATCACACAACGAACCCCACTCATTATTTAATTCGCACATCTCATCACGCGTCATAATTCGGAATTTTTCCCAATTTTGAGTTTTTGAGCCTGGACCGGTCGGTCTACAGTCTGGACCGGTCGGTCTACAGTCTAGACCGGTCGGTCCAGGCGTTCGGCTTCAGATCGAGACCCCTCGGTCTTGTGTTGGTCTGGACCGATCGGTCCAGGTCTGGACCGGTCGATCCAGGCGTTCCGTCTCCCCCTGAGACCTGTCGGTCTAGCCTGTGTCTGGACCGATCGGTCTCGGTCCAGACCGGTCGGTTCGGATCTGGAAGATGAACAGATCGCGATCTCGCGATTTTCCCAGATCCGATCCGAACTTCGGTTGTCCGTAACTCCCTCGTTTCTTGGCCAAATCGAGTGCCGTTTGTTGTTACGTGTTCGTTTAAGTGCCCTCTATAATTCCCAATCAATAAACCATCGAAAACAACACAGAAACACGACGAAAATGAGCTCACACAGATCGAACTCGGGCCACTCACCTTGAATCAGATTCGGATCTGATTTTCGCCGGTTTTCTCGCCGTTTCCGGTTGGTTTCTCGCCGGAAACTTCTCCTAGATACTCTAGGGCAGTCCTCCTTGGTGCCCACGAGCTCCCTTTGGGTCGAATCCTCCTGGTTTTTTGCCTCTCTCGCGTTCTCTCTCTCTTTTCTTCCTTCTGCAACTTTGGTCCGAAAATGGTGAAGCCCCCTCCTTTGCTAGGGTTTTCGACCGAGAAGATGATGTCGAATGGGCTCAAGGAGAAGCCATGGTCCAAGCCTGCAACCTCCTGAACAGTTTGGCCGGTGGTTTGACTTAAATGGGCCTCGGGATTGCGGAGAAAAGTCAGCCCGAACATGTCAACTCAGCTCTCTGGTTCGTCGATGCCCAGACCGGTCGGTCTGCCTCTAGACCGATCGGTCTGGAGCTTTCTCACAGAATCTCCTGTCCGTTCGGTCCACTGCCTGGGCTGTTCGGACCGACCTCCAGACCGGTCGGTCTCCACGTAGACCGGTCGGTCTGGACGGATTTTTCTCCGGTTTTTCTTTTCTTTTCTCCGTTTTCCCGCACGTGACGTTTTTCAGACCCGTCCCCGATTCCGTGTTACACATTTTTTGTGATATCACGCTGTATTTATTTAATTATTATTCCCGAAAATAATTAAATATTCTAACCGGGTTTCGGGGTATTACATATATCCCCATCATTGATCTTGAATTTCGACATATCTCAAGTCGAATTGATCAATATGAAAGATACGAAATATTCCTGAAAACAAAGATAAAGATGAAATAGTACATAACATAGAAGCTGAACGTTAGAGTATAAAACACACTTGGAAATAAAATACACAATGCAACATTCATAATAAACTTTATGTCGATTTTCTCTAGTTGGTCATTTTTCCATCTTCAAGCTGATCAAGGAAATCCGCGATATCCAAATATGTTCCATTTCCTTCTTTATCAATGAAATCATCAGGGACACCAGAAACGAAATTTGTCTGGATATTTATCCCTTTGTCTTTACGTGATTGTTGATATAATTCAACAAGATGTTTCGGTATACGACAGGTCTGTGACCAATGATCGTTCATACCACATCGATAACAGATATTATCTCAAACATTGTGGAATTATATTCTCGCACAGACTTAAAGTCTTTGAATGGATCACATATTTCTCATGATCGAAACGATCTTTGAGTTATTCCCATAAATCTGTGGGATTCTCTTTCGTGCGATATTCATTTATTAGCGCATCATCAAGATGGCGTCGCATAAATATTATCGCTTTTGTCTTATCAGCTTCAGATGTCGCCTGCCCTTTTTCGATTGTTTTGACAATCTTTTTAGCTTTCAGATGCATTTTGGCATCAAATGCACATGCCATATAATTTTTACCAAAAGCATCGAGGGCAGCGATTTCGAGATTGACCAGATTCGACATATCTATCACATGTAAAAACAATAAATTTATGTTATCCATGATTATGTATTTAAGAAGGAATTAAAGAAACATTAGATATAATCATGCATATATTATCATGCGGTAATACCGTCGAGATTGCATAAAATAAATAGTTAATGTGACATAGTCATCCATCACAGAAATAATAACATAAATAATGATAGAAATAATATTCATATTTAGGTGGCATAGCCAACCATTACGATAATAATAGCAATATTTATAAAATATTCATAAGAATATTTACAGGTGGCATAACCAACCATTATGATAATAATAGTAATACTTATAGATATGTATAATGATATTTACAGGTGGAATAGCCAACCATTATGATAATAACAGCAATATTTATAAACATTCATATCATTGACTGGTGGCTGAGCCCGCGAAGTCTATATGAATGTAATATAAATATATGTGATTAGTTATATATTAGTGACCGGTGGTTGAGCCTCCCAACGTCTATATATAATGAAATTGAAGATGAATAGAGATGGAGAATCATACATTACCTTTTGTATGATATTTTCTTTTTTACCTCTATGTCGGCAGAGTGTCATGCTGATAACGTGTTGAAAACGAAAGACGAAAAACAAGATAGAGATGCTCTAGAGAGAGAAATAGTATGATAGAGAGAAGAGAGAGAAAATTCTCCGTATTTCGTATGTTACAAATGAACTACATCACTGACCTATTTATAGAGAAATATAAGGAATTTTTTCATAGTGAAAAATGGTCAGCTTCTTCATAGTAAAGAAGGGTCAGCTTCTTCATAGCGAAGAAAAACATAATATGAATTCCACTATATAATATGGATCCCACTAGATGTCTACTTGTATATTTACAACACAAACTAGATTATAGTTATATATTGTTGAGGATTTTACTCACCAAAAAATAAATAGGATTTTGGAAAAATGATTCCAAATCTTGATGAAGAATCCAATCAGACTGTCACGGTTCAACATTTCCGCGCTCGTGACCTAAGCAGAATGATTAAGTACACAGACGGAATCTATATTTATTGGTGTAGGGCCCACTTGAACGTCATTGGAATTATGTGGGTCCCATGTATGTCCTCTGATCTCGGATCCTTTATGTATATACGTGGACCCTTTGTGTATGTGATGATTAGGGAGTGCATTTTTCTTAGCAATTTTGTGATTTATTAACCTTTTTTTTTATGAAAATGTGATTTATTAACTTGTATTACGCCAATAAAGATCTCATGTTGTTATTTCCAAATTATATATATATATGTCTGTGTGTGTGAAAATATATGAGTTTTTATTTTATTTTGATGAGATAATTGGCACAAAAAATTATATAAATAGTTATGTATTGTAGAAGATTTCATATATCAAGGAAAGAATATTAGAAAAACGAATCTCCCAATCTTGTTGGAGAATCTAATCCGACGGTCATGATTTACCATTTATGAACTCGATATATATCAGTTCTATTTTATATCCCCTAAAATTTGGAACCAATGTCGAGGGCATTTATGTGTAAGATAATAAGGAGGTAGAAGGCTTATCATTCAGTAATACAACGGGCTATATACGTGTGTGTCAATGTGTGTATATATAGAGAACATGCTCCGGCTTTCTTGGAGTTCTCTCAGTTTAGGACAAACCTCTGCTTGTTTATTGGAACATACATAACTTCAGAAAACACAGGATAGAACTACAGTACACGTAATAAGCCGAGTTGGTGGTATAAAATCTAATATATATAACTTATATAAAAACCAAAACATGTCATCATTATATATATATATATATATAACTTATATATAGAGTTTATCTAGTTTATACGCTTGCAGTTTCTGCGAATCTCGCCTTCATTTCCAGTCAGCACGTCTATGGACCCAAGCCTGCTCATGGAGAGAGCAAACGATTTCCGGAAATCCTCGAAACTCTCTGAGAATTCCTCCGATATCTCCTTGGTTTCGTCGTTAAACAACAGCTGTTGATCGATGCCCAACACCGCTTTTTTCGACAGGAGCCTGGAGTAGAACGAGCTTCCGAATCTGTGGCTCGAGCCTGAGTCTGGGTTCAGGTACACAAGCGGGTCGGTCTGGCCTTTCTCTGTCCTGGGCGGACAAAGGTATCTCAGCTCAGACAGCAGGGACTCGTCCATGGCGGGGTCTGGTTTTCCGGTTCTGTTGAAGTTGTAGAGACGATCCACGACGTAGCTGCACCTTGCCCTGCCTATGGAATGCGATCCTGATCATGAAATGGAACTGTTATTAATTTACAGTGTATGATAGTCATGATGATGATTATGTGCATGCATGGATGGCAGACCTAGGAGAGTGGCCATGTCCAGGACATTCAGGCCTTTGGAGTTGAAATAAGACATGGCTTGGTTCCAGGAGATGGAAGGTGATGGAAGGTCCACAGCTCGCTTGTCTGATTTCAGACCGTCTCTTCTCCCGGTGAACACCGGGTAAGACGGTGCACCCGCCTGTGATTTATATTTCCCGGTTATAACACAAATCGGTTTAGAATCTAAAACGTTTTGTCCCATCGTCATTTATATATATATATGATCCGAAAACAACTGCTAGCGTTGTAGGTTTCATGGCGAATGTATGAAGGGTTACATATATCATAGTGGAAAGAGAATCAGTTTCAAGAGAGTGGTGGGGTACCATATGAAGTGCATCTCGAGTGGCGAGGTTAAGGATATCGGCGCAAGAGACAACGCCCGGACATCTTTGCTCCAAGACCTGCTTGATCTTATCTATCATTATGAAACCTCCTAGTCCTCTGTTCTGCGGCGCCGTTCGCTCCGAGTCCGGGCCTTCTAGAAGGATCGATGCATCGCATCCCTGTTTATATATATATACATATATACACGAACAAACAGCAATCAAGACTCGTTCTGTAAGAAGTTATCGAGTTCCGATTAATGCAATAATCGGATCCAGACGATAGTGATCAAGAATGTCGGAAGAAGGGACGTACGGAGACAAAGCAGTCGGAGTAAACCAGACGAAGGAGCTTCGGAGCGATGGTCGCGTCGTTCTTGTAAAGCTTTTCAACCTGGTGCCTGACGTAAGCCTCGGCATCATCGCACGTGTTGTGGACCTTGTAGTAATGCCACGTCAGCTTCTGCATCGACACTCCTTCCGCCGCCGCCTCCGCCGTCAGGGAGAGAACCGCCGCGAGGAGAATCGGAACCATCTTCGGTCCCAGCTCCATTGTCGAGTGTATGGAATGGAGTTGTCGAGTGATGGGAGGGGGTTTATATATGGGAGACTGAAAAGGGAGGGGGGGTTCTGGGTTTTGGACACGTGGCGTATGCTGACTATGATTGACCAACTTGTAAATTATTAAATTATTATTATCTCTTTTATGCAAAATGTTAATCTCAAGACTCAAGCTTTGGGAAAAGGATCTTTGTTGAATCTCTAAGATACCGGCAAGTTGGCATATATATATATATATATATATATATATATATATATATATATATATATATTATAGCCTACA